GTTAGTTTCTCACCTGACACAACACTCAGAAAAATTCAGATGCATTAAAATGCAAATGTATAGAATAAAACCATGAAAATCCTGTAAGAAATATATAAATCTATTTTTCTAATCTCAGGATGTAGAAGTCTTCATAAGTAGAAGATTTTTTTTTTCCAAAAAATCCTAAAATCTATGTGACAGGCCTCAAACCTTCCTTACCTCTTCCTCCCTCTCCCTCTCAATTGATGAATTTCCTGTTTCAACAACAAAATATAAACAATCAGAAAATTATGATCCTGAGACTTTGCTGAAGTTGCTTATCAGATTAAGGAGATTTTGGGCCAAGATGATGGGGTTTTCTAAATAAACAATCAGGTCATCTGCAAACAGGAACAATTTGACTTCCTCTTTTCCTAAATAAATACCCTTTATTTCTTTCTCTTGCCTAATTGCCCTGGCCAGAACTTCCAACACTATGTGGAATAGGAGTGGTAAGAGAGGGCATCCCTGTCTTGTGCCAGTTTTCAAAGGGAATTCTTACAGTTTTTGCCCATTCAGTATGATATTGGCTCTGGATTTGTCATAAATAGCTCTTATTATTTTGAGATATGTTCCATCAATTCCTAGTTTATTGGCAGTTTTTAGCATGAAGGGCTGTTGAATGTTGTCAAAGGCCTCTTCTGCATCTATTAAGATAATCATGTGGTTTTTGTCTTTGGTTCTGTTTATATGATGGATTACGTTTATTTATTTGCATATGTTGAACCAGCCTTGCATCCCAGGTGTGAAGCCAACTTGATCTTGGTGCATAAGCTTTTTGATGTGTTGCTGGATTTGGTTTGCCAGTATTTTACTGAGGATTTTCGCATCGATGTTCATCAGGGATATTGGTCTAAAATTCTCTTTTGTTTGTTGTGTCTCTGCCAGGCTTTTATATCAGGATGATGCTGGCCTCAAAAAATGAGTTTGGGAGGATTCCCCCTTTTTCTATTGATTGGAATAGTTTCAGAAGGAATGGTACCAGCTCCTGTTTGTACTTCTGGTAGAATTCGGTTGTGAAACCATCTGGTCCTGGACTTTTTTTTGGTTGGTAGGCTATTAATTATTGACTTAATGTCAGAGCCTATTATTGGTCTATTCCTCAAGGATCTAGAACTAGAAATACCATTTGACCCAGCCATCCCATTACCTGGTATATACCCAAAGGATTATAAATCATGCTGCTATAAAGACACATGCACACGTATGCTTATTGTGGCACTATTCACAATAGCAAAGACTTGGAACCAACCTAAATATCCATCAATGACAGACTGGATTAAGAAAATATGGCACATATACACCATGCAATACTATGTAGCCATAAAAAAGGATGAGTTCACGTCCTTTGTAGGGACATGGATGCAGCTGGAAACCATCATTCTGAGCAAACTATCGCAAAGACAGAAAACCAAACACCACATGTGCTCACTCATAGGTGGGAATTGGACAATGAGAAGACTTGGACACAGGAAGGGGAACATCACACACTGGGGCCTGTCTGGGGTGGGGGAATAGGGGAGGGGTAGCATTTGGAGAAATACCTAATGTAAATGATGAGTTAATGGGTGCAGCAAACCAACACGACACATGTATACCTATGTAACAAACCTGCACGTTGTGCACATGAACCCTAGAACTTAAACTATAATAAAATAAATAAATAAGTAAATAAATAAATAAATAAAAATAAAATAAAAACTATGCTCCTGATCTTTCTCACTAAACCCGCTTTTTTCAAAGTTTTTCTATTTTAGTACATAGCAACTGCATTCTATTTCCTCAGGACAAAAACTGGAGTCATTCTTGATTCCTCTCTCTCATATTCAATACACAAATCTTCCTGGCTTGACATATATAATATATTCAGAATCTGTCCATTTCTTATCAATTCCCCTGCCACTATCTTGATCTAAGCTATCAACATTGTTAGCCTGCATTATTTAAATATCATCATAACTGGTTTCCCTGCTTTCATCCTTGCTCCTCTACGATCTCTTTCCAAAACAAGTGTTGTGATAATTCTTAAAATTAATGTACAATCATGTTAACTCTTTCCATTTGCTCCCCAATTCACTCAGGAGTAAAAAGCCCCTACTATGATGACCTATATGACACTAGATAATCTTTCCCCTATTACCAATCTAATCTCATCTCCTGCTTAGTTTCACCTCACTCATTCTGTTTAACACAATGGCCTCATTTATGTTTCTCAAACATGTCAGGTATGCTCACACCTCAGGGTTTTTGTATGACTTAGTCTCTTACTGCAGTGAGGTCATTGCTCTATCTTATCAGAGAGATCTTCCCTTAGTAACCTATTTCAAAATACAACAATTTCCAGAAATTCCTATCATCAAGTCTTGCTTTACTTTTCATCATGAGATTTATCATGTTCTAACATAATACAGACTTATTTATTTTGTTTATTGTATGACTCCTTGACTACATATAAGCTCCATGAAGGCAGTGAAAGTTTGTCTGTTTTGTTCAGGCTGTATCTCCGGCACCTAAAACAGTACCTGGTATATCATACATACTCAATAGATAGATTGTGAATGAATAAATAAATGAGTACATAATTTGCCTACATAAAAATTTCAAACATCTACATAATGAAATGCACTGTAAACATGCTATAAGACAAACAACTGACTGGGAGAAAATATTTGCAACAAATATAACAGACAGTGGATGCATCTTCACTATTTATAATGTACTTTTACAAATCAGTAGGAAATACATAACCAAGTCCTCTCCTAAAAAAGTGAGGCAAAGAGTATAAATAGACAATTTACAAAAGAGTTAAAAACATCTGAAACCCCACTTGTAATCAGGAAAATTCAAATATAAACAATAATGATACACTACTTTTCACCCATTAGATTGGTAAAAATTTTAAGTTGGTAACACCCAGTATCTGTAGAATGAGGAGAAAATCTCTTATACTAATCATGAAAGTATAAAGGTGTAGAGTTACTTAATTGGAAAATTTGGCAGTAAATATAGATATTGAAAAGGCACATATATACTGGGTTCTAGCAACTGTTCAAATTTATTGTATCGTAATATTTACCAAAAATTCTTAAGATATGTATGTAAGAATATGGATAAGAATCTTCAGTGCAAAATATTTTTGTAATCACGAACCTAGAAATAATTTTAGTATTCAAAATAAGTTAAATTATTTACAGTGAACCCCCAGAAAAATACTGTATAATTATGAAAAATAATTAGGCATACATTTATAGGCAGATAAAGAAAGTTTGTCAAGATTTACTAAGTGATGACAGCTAGGTACAGAGCAGATGTAAAGTATAATTTTGTGTGTATAAATTAATATATGAGAAAACATCTACATTTGGAAGGTCCAGCGTTATTTCATGTATCAATAATTTGGAAAAAATACTTACAATTTTAATTGTAATATGCTTTCCATCATAATAAGATGCATTCCAACATCAGATATTTTTTGGATGTAAAAAATGAGTATTAAAATTGATGAAATACTGTATATGCATGCATATAAATGCATTTAGAAAACTTTTCTTAAAGAATGCATGAGAAACTACTAAAAGTGGTTACCCTGGAGAAGAAGAACTGGGGAGTTGGGGTTTGTGAACATGTAAAAAGCAGACTTTTTATTTTACAACTTTTCACACTGATTGTATTTTAAAATCAAGTTCATATGTTACATTATTATAAATGTTTTAAAAAGCCAAAAATTTAAATGCACTTATCCTTTGATCCAACAATTTCACTTTTATGAAACTATACATTATAAATAGCTACATATATGTCCACAGATATAATGTACGACGACAAAGAAAATTGTCTAAGATATATTGAAAAAAGAAATAAAAAGGGGTAAGTGATAAAGCAAGGTATAGAATAACATGCACACCATGATTCTACATATATCCAATGTGTAGAAAAAACCCCAAACTCTATATGCATATATATAAATGTATAGAACAAGGAATTCAAATTTATATATTAACTATTGACAGTGGGCCTCTATGAGGAAAGGAATGGTAAAAAGAGGATGGGGCATGAAGAAGATTTTCACTCTTACTCTCAATATGTCTATATTATTTTTAGTAAAATCATATATTCATATGTCACTGGTAAAATACAACAGAGAAAATTAAAATTCACTTCAAGAAACTTTATATTGTTAAACTGAAATGAACATGTAGAAACTTCTCTTGATTATTTCTTTATAAGACACTGATCAATTAGATGATCAAAATAAAGTATTTTTATATAATATTAAAAGAAAAATTATCTTACATATAATTCAGTAAATTCTTATATCAGTGGGAACTTTCACTATTTCCATGAAAACTGAGTACCAAAATTCCTTTTCTAATACTCTTTAGGTCTGTGGTCTGACTACATGATTAAGGAGTTACTACCTTTTGACATGGAACTAAACAATTGTCAAATAAATTCCTGTTGAGTCCAGTGACTCTGAAACAAATTCTAAATTTGATTACTTGAGAAACACTACCAAAGTTTTCACATTGAAGAGAGAAGCAGAGGGAATTGTAAAACTGTATTCAAAGGACTATCTCAGACATGCAGTTAAGAATACTACTACATTATCATTAACTGTCACTTTGTTTATAAGTCTTTTCAAATTAGTTAATAATATTGGGACAAAGGCCAACAACTCCATCACTAAAAAGGGATGGACTAACAAGATCAGACAAAACTAGGCATTGAGATTATTGAAGTATACCCAGAAATTAATATAAAAGAAAAACAAAGAAACCAGAAAGTTTTTCCTTTGGACTGGCCACAAACCCTAAAACATATCTTCTTATCAACTAAGAGAAAAGAAAAGGAATAAATCTCTTATCCAGAATATAATATGGCATTCTATAGTTTGTTTAATGAAAACTTAGGAATGAGTATAGTATTAAAAAATTTCATATCTGCTCAAGTATATGCCTAAAGTATATGCCAAAGATTACCTTTGGACCAGGAAGACCTGGAAGACCAATGCTTGAAATACCAGGATCACCTTTGTCTCCTTTCTGTCCAGGTAATCCTGGGGAGCCAGGCTGTCCAGGAACTCCAGGAGGTCCAGGAGGCCCTTCCACACCCTGAGGCCCTGTTGAAAATAGATAATATATAATATTTTATAAAATATGCTTTACTTGTGGCTTATCTAAGATGCATATGACCAAGCAAAAAGATTTTTAAAAAGCTCTGCAAACTCTGAGTTAGATAATAATGAGACTCACAAACAGAATTATGTGAAAGCCTACTTTTAAAGGAAGTTTAAATAAAAAGGGGTATAGCTGGAGAGAAGATGTTTGTGAATTCTAACTTTTAAGGTTTCTACAATTTTGTCCCTTAATTCCCACTTTAAATCTTTGTGTTACAATAGAGCTCTACCCACTGATTACCTCAGATATTGTTTCAGTCTGATTCTATCAACACCAGTCTCTTTTCTGACAAAAAAAGAGATATTGAACCACCTTTCATTAACGGGACTAAATATTTGGAAGATTTTCATCACTCACCTGGAAAACCCATATCGCCGATGGTTCCTTTAAGTCCAGGAGGTCCTATAAGACCTGGCTGTCCAGGGAGACCAGGGTTACCTTTGGGACCTAGAAAAGTCAAATTGGTAAAATTAAGACAATGCAGCAATTTTGGGGTTGTCTGGTTTCACGGAATGGGTAGTCATTAAAATACAAACATGGGATTAGATAGATTAAATTTTAATATATGATTAAGGTCCACAGATAGAACCCAACATAAAACATCTCCTTGGGAACATATTACAATATAACCATGGTAATAGAGGTCTCCTAACATAACTTAAAAAAAAAATTAAAAAGTTACCAGCACACCTTGTTTCTTTCCCTAAAACAATTTCAATCACTTGAAGTGCTGTTTGTTGTATGTGTGCAACTACCCTTAATGTATTTTCACAGATAAATCCAATATAATAAGTCTGTTTTTAAAAGATTCAGAAATGGGCTTCTCATGTAAAGCCTGATTATATGAGATTAGGAAGAGAAAAGGTGGTAACCTGTTATGATATAGTTTAGTACATTAGGCCAGGAAGAGATTAGAGATGGTGGACAGATACTGGGTAGTGACCCTGAACAGGCATGGCTGCTCTGTTTGTTCATTTTTCCTAGCACATAAGTGCTTGAGCTCTGTGATGTCATCTAGGTTTTTTCCTAGGACCACAGTATTGCCTTAAACCTTCTTTATTTTATTTTTTTCCTTTACAATGACTTCCAACTTGGTAAAGAGAATGCAGAAGATGTGAGGGAGAGATAGGTAGGGAGTTTCTCTTTCCAACTATACCAAGGCCATGTGGTGTGGAGTCTAGAGCAAATAACTGAACTTAAGGGACTTTGTAAGAATGGGGACCAGCTGCTCTTTATTTCCTTAGGAAACAAACTAAAAGAAAGTAGCTGAAGAAGAAACAAGAAAGAGTTTTATTAGGAATAATGCTGTAACTGACTACCAAGAGAATTTGTGAAATTTTCATGCCTAGAAATTGGAAAAAATAGAATCAATAGCCATCTGTTTTACATGGTTTAATGACTGACTTGTCCAAAGGCAAAAAGAAAAAAAAGCAGGACAAGATGAATTCTTCAGGCCTTCATGAGATAATTGTCTCATTTATATATTCTGCAATGTATGTAACAAAACACAACACCTTATTTGGATCACACTTCTGATTCTGTGTATACCCTGCTGCAACAAAAAGAAGAAACTGAATAATCAAGGCAAAATATCCTATAAATCTTGACTGCTGAAACTAGAGCCAAAGGGCAATATTTTTGCCAAAAGTGAGCTCCATATTTCAGTAGCTACCCAAGCTTATTACCATGAGCAAATCCACAGCGTCTTCAAACATGACAAACACATAATTATTTATCCAGAATTCAGTGTCAGCTAAGCAATTGCTACAAATGGCCTATCACACTTACCTGGTGGTCCTGGTAATCCAGGTTGTCCACTCAGTCCAGGTTGCCCTGGGTCTCCAGGCAAGCCCTGATAACCTTTTGGCCCTGAAACTCCAGGTATACCTTCCAAGAATGAGTAGAAGAGGCAAGTTAGGATGATATTATTCATCCATGAAATAACTTTGGCCAAGCAAGCTGCTCAAGTGTTAAACTATAAGTAAATTAGAGGAACTGGTGATATTATGATATAGTATGGGCTATTAGCACTGGACTCACACTAAAATCCTTCACTTTTTAGTTACCTACCATCAAGAAATTCAGAGCACTCAGTAGTGAAATAACTTTCCTATTTTGGGCCTCATTTTCTTTTCTTTTCTTTTCTTTCTTTTTTTTTTTTTATTATACTTTAAGTTCTAGGGTACATGTGCACAACGTGCAGGTTTGTT